TGACTTTAAAAGAGACAATATAATTAATTATATATATGCAGATCATATATTTGGTTGGTAGTAGCTAGTGGAAGTTCATTATAATTCAATTTGAAAAAATTAGTCTATAGCCTATAATTCTTGACCGTGCCATCTAAGCATAAACCTCAGATGTTCTTATGAAATCTTTACAACAATTAAGGAGTACATATAAGAAGAAAGAATAACTTTATATAGCATAAATGGCGCTATAATAATTGACGAATTGAAGAATTATTAAGGAGACACATAATTGCCCCATTGAAGTTAATTTAATGGAAGAGTATGAGACTCATCTATTTGGATTTATCCTGTAATGTTAGGCTGATGTTTTATTATTACTGGGGTTATATTACATTACAAATTTGGGGGGGGGGGGGGGGGGGATTTAAATCTTGTTAATTGCATAGTCCTATCCAATTCTGCATACCAAACGTGCAATATGAGCATGAAGATATTGCCTTTAGGAAGTGTGGGTTGCAAAGAAACGTAAAAGAGACGCTCTAAAAGACAGAAATCTTTCACGTCTTCTGAGAGTAAAAACAAAAAAATGTTAAAAGAGCAAGCTTACTCTACGTCTTTAATAAAAGAAAGTCTTTGTAGAAGGGCTGTTCGGGTTTTAAAAGATTGAATAATGACAAAAGGTCTTTTAAAAGAAAAACTTTCAAATGATATTTTTTCTTCATGCTTCTTATTTTTCCATAAAAAAGATCTTAATTACTCTTAATAATAATTACTAATGTATTTTGATAAACAGTACTAGATAGAATTAAAACCTATTTTTGTACAATAATTTAAAATGTTTACCTTTCCAAATGTGCCCCCAACATAATAAATTTTATTTTGTCAATACATCGAATCTAACATTTGATAGTCTAAAAATGACTAATGAAGTAGTGGAAATGATCGAGGTGGGTCGGTACTATTTTAATTGACAGTGCACACTGGCCAATAAATGGCTCTAAATATTAATAAATAGCATAAATATTTCTGAAATCATCATTCCGTTTCATGAAATCATACTGAAAAGCAAATGAAAGTAAAAGTCTAAACTTAAAATTATATTATAAAATTATTTATTCAAAAATATGCTAAAGAAAAAGGAATAACGGACGCTGCATGCTGCCACTAAGTTAATTTAATTTGTAAGAAATTTAATGCCTAAGTATAATTAAATTCGAAACTAATTGAATTTATGTATCAGATTATAAGTCGCTTAAAAGTTAAAACGTGGTAACCACAAGTCATTAAGTCTCTAGTTTCCCAGTGAAATTATTACCCATTAATCTGGTAATTAGTCCGCCTGTAGTCTATAACAAATGATCTTAATATTATTTATTGATTGGCAAAAAATACTGCGAAGATCACCTATACATAAATTTAATATATATTTTTAAAAATAAATGACATTCTCTATGTATGAGTCCTTTCAATATTACAAATCATGTTTGAAAATAAATAACATTTCTTATGCACAAATCCTCAGCATGGGTCACAAATGATCTTAATATTTATTCGTCGAAGGTTAAAAAATATGTGCTTATGCAAAGATCCTGATACATAAATTCAATATGTATTTTCAAAATTATATATATATATATATATATATATATATATATATATATATGAAAATAAGTCTATCTTGCTCAAAATATGTGCTTATGCAAAGATCCTGATACATAAATTCAATATGTATTTTCAAAATTATATATATATATATATATATATATATATATATATGAAAACAAGTCTAACTTGCTCATCACAACTGACTTTAACACTTATTTATTGATGGTAATATAATATGCGTGTGCATACATGTCCGCGACAAATGACTTTAACACTTACTATTTAACCAAAAGTGCAAAAGAACCAATAAATGACTAACTAAAATAAATAGTGAAAGATAAATTCTTCATGATCATCATTTTATTAAAAGAAATTCACAAGAAAAGTAAGACTAGCCATAATACATAGTTTATCAAAGGAATACTCGAATAGTGGGAGGTGTATGCTGCCACTAATGATAATTAAATTCCACAATCTAAAAGTAATCATTGATTAAAATATGACTATGTGTCAATGACTTAAAAAAGTTAAAAACATATTCACTTCTTTTTTATTTATAAAGAATCAAACTATATGTATGAAATAATGGAGCCAAGTCTAAAAACATACTACTTGCTGTTTCGTCCTAATAAATAAATCAAATGCTTATAAATTTCAAACATTTTTCTATGTTAGACAATAAAGAGTCAAATATTTTCTTTTAAGAATTCACAAAGATAACTCTATACATAAAAAGGAACCATCATAAATCTTTTGATTTACAGTCAAGTTATTATCCACTAATCTTAATTAATTGACTAGCATTTTTCCAATCTTGTGCATGTGCCTTTCTCACCTATCACAAATGACCTTACTATTTATTTTCCAATGATTAGTATAATATGCATATAGGTAGAGACTGATAATATATAGATTCAATATGTATTTCAAAATTGTAACTTGAAAATTTTACACCAATAGTGAATAAAATATTATGAGTATTTGTCTAAAAACGAGTAACATTTCTAATTTACGAGTATTTTTTGCCATTGACAAATGTCCTTGATATTTATTTCAAAATTGTGAATCCGATACTTATATATCTACAATGTATAAAATAAATATTTTTTGCCATTGACAAATGTCCTTGATATTTATTTCAAAATTGTGAATCCGATACTTATATATCTACAATGTATAAAATAAATATCGTACAGTTAAGTTGCTTGTACAAATCAACTGTCAATACAATTTTACATGTGCTAAGATGGTAGCACATGTGCGGTTTTCTTTCTTTCTTTTTTTTTTCTTTCCAAATACCCAATGAAAATCTGTCAAATGGAATTCTATATAATTCCCTGGAATTCTATATAATTCCCTGTAAAACTTTCCTGTACATAGCATTGTTCTATATTATGAGTATACCTATGAAAACTAGAAACATTTTTTATGCACAAGACCTTCAAGCGGCCACAAATGAATTTTTCAACATACACTTGTTCTTGGTCAATATTACTTGCATACATTCAAAGATTTATGCTATATATGTATATATTCAATTGTGATATCAATAAGTTAATATGGACAATGAATAAAATATTATATTTGAAAACAAATTAATATTTCCTATAAATCCTTCTTGTCACTTACAAATGTTCTTAATATTATCCATGAACGGTAAATATAATATGCACATATACTTTCAAAGTCTGGCAATACAAAAACTCATTATGTATTTAAAATTATGAATTCAATATTTTTACATTGATAAAAAATAAATATTGGCTTTATCTCTGAAAAGCAATAACATTTTCTGTGCGTGAAGCCACAAACTTTTCTACCATCACAAATAACCTACATTTATTAACGGACGATTAAAATAAATTTATATATACAAAGACTGGTGATACATCAAGTCGAACAAAATGTCGAAATTATGAATTCAATATCCTTACACTGCTAATGAATAAATATTTTAAGTTTATCATAGAATATGACTAACGTTTTCTATGCATAATCATTTCTGCCTATCACAAATGACCTTAATATTTTTCATCGACGATTTCAAAATTGTGAATTCAATATCTTTATACTGACAATGAATACAATATTATGAGCTTATCTCTTAAAATGATTAACATTACCTATGCACGAATATTTCCCACCTATCACAATTTACCTTATTATTTAATCACCGGCAATTAATATAATATACAAACATGCAAGGACTAGTAATATTTGAATTCAATATGAATTTCAAAATTAAGAATTCAATATTTTTATACTGATGACAAATATAATATTATAAGTATATATTTGAAAACATGTAACATTTTTTTTTCTATATATGGTGGCAAGTTGGTCGAACAAAGCAAAATCACATGAATATTGAACTTTCCATATGAAAAACTACTTTTCAACTAGGCACAAAAACATGAGTTTAGAAATTTATCTTTCTTTTTTTTTTTTTTGCCTTTTTTTCTTCTTTTTATTTTTAGCACCCATACATAGAAATAATTATAAATTAGAAAATTTAATTAAGAGTCTTTACAAAGACAGCTCTAATAATATATGTTAACAAAGAAATTTTTAAAACATTCAACAACAAATAAAAGGTTATTGTGAGACAAAGCACGCTGTATGTAATGATGGATGAGACTCGCAACCCATATAAAACATGAAGCAAATGGGAAAGTATTTTTGGAAAAAGTTAAAAAAAAAAAGAAGAAGAAGGGAATTTTAGTATTTAATGCTGTACACTCTTACAGTGAGGGGGCCCACATGCATTTTTTATTCATGTGAGCTCCCTCAACATGTGAGGAGGTTGTATGGTGTACAAATGATTTTACCCATTTATATGATGTATTGTGTTTGTGGATTATTTGTGCCAATCTTTTTTGACTTGTTCGTGACCCTATTGACTTACCCATTATGGGGCTTGTGCTGGACACAAGTTAAAACACTTTGGCGATACACGTGAAGTATGACTTTGTAATTGTTTTTATTAAACATGAACAAAATTTATCCTCAACTTGTTTTAAGCCTAATCCACCCCCACCTTTTATTATGGAGCAAAACTCGTCTTTTCCTCCATTTTGGTTACTAAATGACGGATTTTTCATTCTCTTTAAATAATCAAAAATAAAAGAAAGCAGTAAAACAACAAAGCATAAGGAAAAATTGCAAATGGGATCTCATACCTCTTCAAAAACTAAAAATAAATCTCACTTAAAACCGTTAAATGCATATTAACATGTAAAAGGGAAAAAAAAGAAAAAAATTTCGAACAAGTGCTATTATGTAATGTCTTCAAGTTTAATTTATTTCTTGGCTTAGTTTTTCTGAAGCACTCATTTTATTTATTTGCTATAGTAAATAAAAGTAAGAATCTCCTTTTTTTTTTTTTTTTTTTTTTTTTTTTTTAAACTCTCCTCGCTAATGAGCCACGACAATATCAGCATGCTGCTAGGGGAAGAACAAAGTAGATTCACTAATCCTGGCCACTTCCGAAGCTATCACGTTTCTCATGCTGCCACCCAAAGCCCGGTGAACCATCATGGCTAGCCTCACCATAGTACGATCTGCCTCGTTGAAGCTGTGATAAGTGGGTTGGAGGCATAGGTGGCGGCGGCGGCGGTGGCGGTGGCGGTGGCGGAAGGGACATGGGTTGTGGGGCTATCATTACCTTGCCTTCCCTCGGGTCCACAAAATTTCCACCCTGCCCATGTTCCATCCCTTTACTGGCTGAAGGAGGGAGGTTTGAAGGTGAAACCCCCATACTCCGACCATATTCACCTTGACCTACCAGAGGAGGTTCAAAAGGCCCAGCAGGACCCAAATTCCAGGGCCGAGGATAATTTTCTGCGAAATTCATTGCTCCAGCAGGACCCTGCGGGAAACCTATCAATGGACCCTGTTCAGACCCAACCTCTGGTGTTGAATCTGGCCTAGGCATATCGTAGGGACCTCCATAGAATTGTTGCGTTCCAGTAGGTGCATAAGGAGCATAACCAAATTGAGGGGGAGCTGGAACAGGATTGATTGGCACTGCAAAATCAGAAGGTTGATGGCGGCTTCAAAGGAAAAGGATATTCAAATATAATTCCTTATTCTTTTTGGAAAAAACTGACCTGGGTTTGGCTGCAGTCCACCCAATGAGTCAAAAGCTTGCTGAGGAAACTGGTTCAGCGGGACAGGCCTCTCAAACATTTGGGTATATTTTACTTATAGACATAATTTATGAACATCAACCATGGCATCTGATCCAATTACTATTAAACAATTAATGTGGAATTCTACCTGGTTTTATACACACATACGCACAGCGGCGAATCTCCAGTGTGAGTGTTGGATGGATTTGTTTCACATAAATAAGTAAAATGTAGAAAAAAATTCTTTATTTATAATGCAAGAAGAAAGCAGTAATTAATTATATGCAGATCATATATATGGTTGGTACTAGATAGTGGGAATTTATAATACTTCAATTAGAAGAAGTCGGTCTGAAATTCTTAGTGGTTTACTTTCTCCAGTACAAAGTTACAAGCCAAAGCGCAAGTGCAAACTTGCATATTTAATACCATATTCACTGTTAAAATAAATATTATACACACACACACGTATGTAAAATATTTTTTAAAAGGGTCCAGATGAAACATGTGATTAATTAAGAATTTATAAAATTTTGACTTTATTGTTACTAAAAATAGTCTTCCACATAAAAACGTCACTTTTTTCTTGATTGAATATGGTGTAATGTCTTGACAGACTCCACTTCCACTTGTTCAACAATGAAAAAAATCAGACTCAAATTTTTAACTAGATCCTTTAAGATTTGTCACATACTTGCATTGTGTGGCTATCATAGAAGGCTAGGAATATAAATTTGTTTAAATAATGATAGAAATGGTGATTTGGTGCTAAAACTACTCCAATATAGGTACTCAACGGTGTCAATGAAATTCAAATATAAGCATTCAAATTAAGATATTTCTTTGCTAGGGAAAACGTTCCTCACATCTAAGCCTCGGAATTCTATTAGTATTTCAAAATTTTGGTTTCAATATGTTTATACAGACAATGAATTATTGTACGTATGAAAATGAAGTAATATTTCTATAAACCCTTCTTGTCACTTACAAATGATCTTAATATTATCTATTAACAGTAAATGTAATATGAAAATACGCACACAAAGATTGGCGATACATAAATTCATTACTTATTTAAAATCGTGAATTCAATATTTATTCACCGATAAGAAAATAAATATTGAGTTTATCTCGGAAAATGAATAACATTTTTCTATGCACGAACCTTTCCCGCTATCACAAATTACATTAATATTTATTAACCATTGATTATTATAATAAGTATACATTCAAAGGCTAGTGATGTATGAATTCAATATGATTTCAAAATTGTCAAGTCAATATCTTTGCACTGACAATGAATACAATATTATGAATTTTCTCAGAAAATACGTAACATTTTCTACCTGACAAATGACATTAATATTTATTCACTGGCTATATATATATATATATATATATATATATATATATGCAAAAACTAGAGATATATGAATTTCAAAAGTGAGAATTCAATATTTCACACTGAATGAATAGAATATTATAAGTATTGGCTTGAAAATAAGTAACATGCAAAGACTAGTGATCATTAAATTCAATACGATTTCAAAATTGTGAGTTTAGTATCATTAAAATGACCATAAATACAATAATATGAGTTTTTCAGCAAAAATGAATAACATTTTTCTATACACAAACCTTTTTCGCCTATCAGATATGACCTTAATATTTATTCGATGGCGATTGATTTAATATATATACACATGCAAAGACTAGTAATATTTCAATTCAATATGAATTTCAAAATTGAGAATACAATATTTTTATACCGACAATGAATATAATATAACAAGTACACATTTGAAGACAAGTAGCATTTTCATTTTTTCTATATATGGCGGCAAGTTAGTCAAAGAAAGCAAAATAACACGAATATTGAACTTTCCATATGAAAACTATTTTTCAGTTAGGCACAAAAATTGAAACTTAGAAATTTATATGTCTTTCTTTTTCATTACAGATAGAGAAACAATTATAAAGTAGAAAAGTTAATTAAAAGTCTTACACAAAGGCAACTCTAATAAACAGAGACATTTTTCTAATATCCAACAAATAATAATAATAATAATGCGAGGCAATGCACGATGTAAAATGAAATGATGGATGGGGTTTCCAACCCCATAAAAACAGCAAGAAAAAAATTGTGGACTTTTAGTGAATTTGCATGATTTATTGTGTTTAATGGATAGTTCTGTACGGATAAATTCTGACTGGTTCATGTCCCAATCAACTTACACATTATGTGACTTGTGCTGGACATAAGTCAAATACATTGTTATACATGGCAAGTATGACTTTGAAATTGTTTTAATAAACCAAAAACAAAAAGGATGGTAAACAATGTCATTTACAAAATTAAAAATGATAAATAAATTATTCATTCTCAATTTATGTTGTTAAAGGAAGTAGTTCAACGTGACTATAGAGTCTAAGCAGATAGAAATCATAAATTTTAGTTTTGTCTTCATTAGTTATAAAATTTTGTATCTTCAACTAAAAAAAAAAAAAAAAAAAGAATGAAAAAAATTGGATAGCATATGACAGAGACGTGTTGAGACAAGTATTAGTCTTGAATTCTTGATAATGAAGAAGTATGACAAATAATTATAATGATAAATAAGACTATAAAACGACAACTATACTTTTATTTTTAGTTAAAATAAAAGAATAAATAAAGAGGAAAATGAAAAATAAGAACCAATTTTTGCATTCTTGTGAATGCCCCATCTCCACCTTGTCCCAAAATTGTGAACCGAATAAGGAAAAAAAGGAGAACTAGCAAGAGCCGGGTGGGAGAATGGAAAACGATATTGTTATACTTTTTACTTTTTTTCATTCTCTTTCTATGTTTGTTTTTATCTATTTTACTTTTAAAGTTTAAACAGTATTCTCATACACTCTATGTGACTTTTTGGTGGTTCTAAACCATCATAGAATGCTATAAAACTCAAAGATCAAAACCTTAAATATCATAATAAATAATTTTTGGCATTAAATAAAGTTTGAGAACCCAAATGTAATTTCCTTAATGAAAACGTGTTTTTAAATAACAACTGGGAAATTTAAGAGCTCCCGATAAATTTCCTCCATTTCATATCTTGTAGTCCAATTACAGCCTATATATAGCTAAAAGAGACCAGTAAGCCCAAGGGAGATAGTGGGCCAGTTTCCTACTCTTTCAACCCAAATAAGGCAGAAGGAACAAACCCAACTAAGTGCAAGAACAAAAAAATATGGGAAAAATTCAAAAGTTAGGTAATAACTTTGACACAATTCAATTTTCAGGTGTAAGTTTCAAAATGCAAAACTCGGGTATTAGTTAATTAATTAAAAATATTTATTAATTAAATATAATAAGGTCACAATTATATTAGGGTAATTAGCACAAAAGACCCTTACCTTTCAATGTTATTGTGCAAAATGTCCCTATCTTTCATTTTTTGGCATTTTCACACCTACCTTTCACCTTTCATTGTGCAAAAAGTCATTTTCATCCATTTTTTCAATAAAATGACGATTTTTACCCTCCTATTCAAATAAAACAAAAAGAAAAGATGAATTACCAACTGTAACCATAGTCCTTAAATTTTTAAAAAATCACAAAGAAATCATAAAATTTCCACTACCACCACTTTCACAACCTTCCAAACTGTCACCTATAGATTCACATAGCACCATCTTTTGGCCACCATGCCCACCGGACTCCACTATCACCAACCTCGCCTCACTCCCCCACCGTCCTCCCATACACGAATTTGAAAGATTGAAACACTTAGGAACCACCAATTTTGGTCAAACAGCTCTCGCTATGCATCGCACCCGTAGAGAGTTTTGGACCAGAAATTGAAACAGTTGAGGAAATAATTTGTTCAATTAGATTCATACCCATTGTCGTTTGGGTTTGTTGATGGTTCGATTAATGCCAATTTGGAGATTTAGTATTGTGGGATACATGAATTAAAAGAGAAGAGTTTGGTAAAATGGACGTCGCCATTACCAAATGTTCTAGAATTACAACAAAATGATTGAAGTGAGACCATGTATAGATTCGTCGAGACAAGGGGTAACCATCGATGGTGGTGCTTGACCATGGGTGGCGCTGAAAGTGGGATTGCTATGAAGGATTGTATATGGTAGTTTGGTATTTTGGGTTGTAAATGTAGTTGTTTTAGATAGATTGATGACCAATACTGTGGAGGAAGATGTTGGGGAGAGTGAAGCGAGGCTAGTGGTGATGGAGTTCGACGGGTGTTGAGGCCAGAAGGTGGTGCTATGTGGCTCTATAGGTGGCGACCTGGTGAGGTTGTGAAAGTGGTGTTAGTAGAGAATTTAGGACTTATCTGTAATGTTTTGAAAAATTAGGATTATGATTGCAATTAATTTTTCTTTTCTTTTCTTTTCTTTTCTTTTTATTTTATTTGAATAGGAGGGTAAAATTGTCATTTTATTGACAAATAGATTAAAAGACCCTTTTGCATAATGAAAGGTGAAAGGTGGGAATGAAAATGCCAAAAATGAAAGGTAATGACATTTTACACAATAACATTGAAAGGTATGGACTTTTTGTGCTAATTACCCATTATATAATTAATGGTCTCATATACATAACTATTGATCACAGTTTATTTACGGGTCACGTAACATCAAATTAATTAGTCACAGATTATTTTGAAGTCACAAATCAAAAATTTTGTAGATCACAAATTAAAAAATTTATAGGTCACGATTGATTTTATTGGTCACAAATAAAAAATATTACAACTTACTATTTATTTTTCGATCACAGATTTTTAAATTTGTTGGCTATAAATTGTTTTTCAATCACAAGTTATCAAATTTTAAGGTCATGATTTAATATTTGGTCCCAACTAACCAAATAATTAGTCATATACACTAAATTTAAGGTCACATACCACCACCACCAACACTACCGCCACCATCACCTACGACCACCCTTACCCTACAACCATTGCCAGGGCCACAACACTACTACCACCACACCACGACCATAACCATCAGCATCGTTAACCGCCACCACTACCAACATCTTCACTGCAC